TCTCTCTCTCTCTCTCTTTCTTTCTTAGACTTGGAGTGCTTTTTCTGTCAAAGAAGGAACCCACGTCTGATCAAATCGAGACGGATTATTAGTTATCCGGAAGCAAGCCGGCAACGAGATGGTAGACTCAGTCAGAGACTTCCAGAAGATGCAGAGTTTTATACTGTGTCACAGGAACTGTATGAGCATATTGTTCCTAAGACCATCAGCAACTTTTACAAAAGAACTTTCTGAAAAAGAACCCAAACGTCTAAGGGGCAGTACTAGATTAGTTCGTTTAATTTTCGTGAATATTGTTTTTTTCTGTGGAGAAGCATGCTCACTGATACCCCCTACAAACACCCTTATTGGAAAAAAGCATACGTATGCCGAACTGGAGAGGAGAAAGGGAAAAAGATCACAAAAGAAGAAATACAAAAACGTGCCAAGGAATGTGGGGGGCAAATGGGGAATGGATGTCAGCTTCCGTGTGTCCTCAGCAGTCATTGATTTGCATGCAGCAGACGCTTGGTATCACAGAGACTGCTACTCCCGGTTCTACACAAGCAGTCTAAAGTAATCAACTAGCTCACTTACAACTCATGACAATGCCTTCAGTATGCTGGTGGACGAGATTCGATCAAACAAATTACGCATGTGGAATAGTGTGGAAGTCCATGAACGCTATATTGAACTTGGAGGCAAAGACAAATCTCAGCTTTCACTTAGCACTACCGCAGTTGCCACCATTTTGCGACGAGTTCAGTCAGCACCAGTGGCACATATGGTCTTCGACAGATTCTACAGACTGAGTACAAAGTCGTGCTGTACACACGCCCGCCAGAAGGGGACAAGTCGTGTGTACAACCTGACCGAAGAGTCGCCTTTGCCACAGCAAAGTGTCATGCTGAAAGTCACATTCAACGAGGAACAACTGATACAAATTGTTGTACATCGTCTTTGCAGCATGCAGCCTCCACCAGGATCAGATGTTGTCATCTCTGAACCAGATCCACTCCCTATACACATGGAGTCTGGACTTCAACAAGACACTCCGTATCTTGAAGAAGCTGATGTCATCCACGAATTGCCATTAGGACAGAGGGACATCAAGGTCGTTTCTGGTGACACCGATGTTCTCGTTATCATGGCCCGACATCTCTACATGAAGACCAAAGGAATGTCATGAAATATGACTCTGTCCATTGAGTTGTGCACATCCACACATAATGTCATAAGTGTCAATGACGTTATCAGAGAGCATGCAACCATAATGCCTAATTTGCTGGCAGCTCATGCCCTGAGTGGTTGTGACACAGCTTCTTCCTTTTTTGGAATTGGAAAGATGACAGTCCTCAAGAAGCTTGAAGTGTTCATCGATGAACTGGAGCTTGGGAAGATGTCTGCTCCTTTACTACTGGAAATCTCTGAGTCATGCCTTCAGTTTACTTATCTGCTCTATGGGGATGAGTCTGGAGCCAATATGAAACAGTTCGAGTCAACATTTTCCGGAAGAGGCTTGCTGGAAAGAAACACATTCCCCCGAATCTGAGTAGCCGTCTTCGACTATGGCAAGTTTTCAGGCCCGCATCAAACGAGCCCACTTTCAGGT